CCCACAGTAGAGCAGTTCATCCGCACTACGGGAGAAAGCGAGCCCGCGGATACTCGCGTGTGCTTCGTCTAGGCGGAAAGAACATATGGCTACAAACTGCACGTGGCCACGGGTCTGTGGGTCTCGCTGCGGTGCGTGTACGAGGATCAGGGAACTCGAGAGCGACGCTAAACGACCGTGAAAAGCGCTCCAACGCACGAACGCCACAGGCGAGTGGTGGCCCGACGGCGCGAGACGCGAGAGAAGGATGAAGTCGTCGCTGTCGTACAGACGGATCTCCGTCTGCGTGGGCACGGCCAGCACATTGCGGCCGTCGATGCGGGTCCAGCTCCATGCCCGCACTACCATGGTCTTTACGATCTTTTAGGGAACTGAAGTTGAACTTTTGTGAATCTTGGAATATTATTGTAGATATAACTACAGTATAATTTTGTTGGGAGGAAGTGCGCTTTGTTTTTGTGACAAGACCTGGTTCGATTTTTTTTTTTTCAGCTGCCTCGTTTTGCAAATTGTGCTACAATGATGGATTCATTTGATTAGGACTCTAAGGGATGTTTGGTGCAATAAATAGAGTACATTTGTGCTTCAGTCGTGGAAAGTGCAAAAGATCCTATCTCGAAGTCGGATTGACCCAAAATTAAACTGCATGCATGTGTCGGAGTTGAAAATGCCACGGAGGAATCGACGTCGAAAAAATTCGCCAAGCGAGGTTGCATAAGTTTTTTTTTAATGTCTGGATGGCGAAAGGATCCGTTGAGGTCGGATGGTATAACCTGACGTCAACCTTGTTAATCATCCTGTTCGTTTGAAGAATTGTTACAATAGCTGGTAAGCTTGTATAACTTGACGACAGGTAACGAGATACAGTTTGGGGAAAAGGAATTCATCACGAGTCTTTGCAAAGCGACTTTATGAGGCTAGCATGCTAGGAAACATGCTTCCTTCTGCGTACAAGACAGAAGCGCGTCCAGCTAGTGAAAAAAAAAACTGCTCCTATTTCTTATTTTACCGGTACTTCGGTTGCGCCTAATTTCCGGTTTGTATTGCAGAGCGGATGACTCAAATGTCAGCTGTGTACCCAAAACTCGCCATCTGAGCGCCCATTCGTCCCAAAAACCGCAACAAGGCGACTGTTTTGTCAGTGTGGAAGCCAGCCCTGAACATCTCTTCCACGCTCCGACGAAAAGGCAACAGGTCCCACCCAGTGCGGAAAGCGGCACAAAAGGGAAACGTCACTTGAAAAATGGGGAACTGCTGCTCCTCCGAGGCCTCGGCCGTCGTGGCGCGTCGCTCAGGCGCCGACAAGGACGAGGTGCATTCCGTGCCCTTCGCCGCTCTCCCTTCGCCCCACAAATACGCGGAAACGGAGGACACGGAGCCGCGTATTAAAGACGAGGAGCCTGCGTCTTCACCGTCTCCATCGTCGCCTTCCTCGCCCTCCCAGGCGCCCGAGGAGCCGGAAGACGACTTTGTACCGCAACATAGACCCAGTAACAAGCACTTGGAGAACACCCACCACGTCAAGATCGGGGACTACAACCTCCGCTACTCGTACTACTCGAAACGCGGCTACTATCCCGAAGGTAGGGCGACAATAGAAAAAGGTAGAACGCGGTAGAATCTGACATTTCGTTCATTGTAGCGCGGAAGAAGGCGAACCAGGACAGCTATTACTGCGAGACGCACTTCGCTGGAGACGACCAGAAGGCTTTTTTCGCAGTCTTTGACGGCCACGGCCAATATGGAGACATTTGCTCGCAGTTTGCGGCCGAACAATTGCCCGAAAACATTATCAAGAACCTGGAGGAGAATATGAGCACTCTACCAGCCCTCACACGAGCCCATGTGCAGACCAACCGAGCCATGCACGAGGCCAGCTTCGACGACTCCATGAGTGGCACTACGTCCATCTCCGTGCTCTTCTGTGGCAACGAAATCCACGTCTCTAACGTCGGAGACTCGCGAGCTATTATCGCCCAGGAGAACTTGAAGGCCTCAACTCGAGCAGGCGAGGCCAACCTCGTAGCCAAGCCACTGTCCATTGACCAGACGCCCTTCCGAAAGGTAATTATCTGACTTTTTTTTTCTTATTATTATTGATAAACTAATTTTTTTAAATTATTTTTTAGGACGAGAGGGTGAGAGTTAAGAAGTGTGGAGCTCGTATCTTGACGGTGGACCAAGTGGAAGGACTCGAGCCTATTCACGAGAACTGGGGACTATCGCTAGGCGACGAGATCGACGAGAACGGAGACCCTCCGCGTATCTGGCATCCTTATGGACAGTATCCCGTAAGTAAACGGGGATGTGCTTTCTGATTTATTATTTATCAGTCCTGACTTTGCATTGTGATTAATTTTTTTATAGGGTACTGCATTCACGCGCAGCATTGGAGACTTGGTGTCGGAGGAGTTGGGGGTGACGGCTGAGCCTGAAATTCTTTGCAAGGGCTTGAACCCGCACGATAAGTTCATCATTATTGCGAGTGACGGTGTGTTCGAGTTCCTTACGAGTCAGAACGTCGTCGACATAGTCAAGCAGTACGAGAACCCGTCCGAGGCGTGTCACGCTCTGGTAGAAGAGGCATACAACCGCTGGCTGCAGTTTGAAGTGCGTACGGACGATATCACGGCGATCTGCATCTTCCTTGACGGTGTTACTCCAGCGAAGGAGCGTGATGGTCCTCGTGGCAGTATCTATGTTGGTGGAGAGGTGCTGGATCTGCAGTCGATGCAGAGACCTGTGCGTGGCATCACGAAGAACCATGCTCGAAGGAACACGATCGTTGGAACAGACGCGATCCGTTTGTCGCTAGCAGAAGCTTTTATGGATGACGAGCCTGGACTACCGGATTTGGTCGACGCTGAGGGAAAGTCGGAGGAAGAAGAGCAGTGGATAAAGAAGGCTGTTCAAGGCAGCTTCCTGTTTAACCATCTGAGCGACCAAAAGGTAGGCGGTCCTGGTAGCTGCTTACATGCGGCCAAATTGGAGACTTATTTTTTGTGTTAACCATATTTTTCAGATTCACGAGGTGATTTCTGTACTGAAGAAGCTCGAGTTTAATGCCGGTGACATTGTGATGCGTCAAGGAGTCCCTGGCGATACGTTCTACTTGGTAAGTAGCGTCGCTGCTTAGTAGCTGCGCGTGTAAGACTGATTTTGTGTGATAATAGGTGGAGACGGGCGAATTTGAGGCTCGTCACGTGAAGGACGAGACTCGGGAGGTATCTCCAGAGCATGATTTGTCCCCAGAAGCTTATGGCGAGGTGGTTCAGGTGTACAAAGCTAGCGACGACTCTCATCCAACTTTCGGTGAGCTGGCGCTTATCTACCCGAAGCCGCGTGTCAACACTGTTATTACGAAGGAAAAGGGAACGCTGTGGGCGCTGGATCGGATTGCTTTCCGCTCGATCTTAATGCGCGGCCGACCTCTACGCGATGTTGTGCGTCGACTGCGCCAGATCAGCCTGCTGCGTCCGTTGACTGTGGCGCAGACCAATTTGGTTGCAGAAGAGATGCGTACTGTGGTCTTCGAACCAAACCAAGTTGTTCTCCACGAAGGAATGGCAGAGCCGGGCTTCTTCCTGATCACCAGTGGTCGCATCGAATCGACCTCGAAGATGGACAATGTGGTGCCTCTGGAGCTCAAGACATTCGACTACTTTGGTGAAATCGCACTTGTTCGAAGACGATCGATCAGGTATGTTCAGCCCCGGACTCTTGTGGTGTCTGGATTCTATGCTAACTACGATGTACGTGTAGCCAACGCACCATACGAGCGATCGAGCGGACCGAGTGCCTTTTCATAAGGAAAGATGCACTGGAACTGGCTGTCGGCAAGCTGTCTTCCATTCTGGAAAAGGACAAGCTTCGTCGTGCACGCAAGACGCGGATCTCGGAGGCACGAAAGGAGGCGAAGGTAAAGCTCGAGTTGTAGAGTGTTTTTATGGACCTCACGCTAACCAGGATTGGCTTGTACTTTTCACAGGCGAACACGTTCGTCCAGTTCGACAACGAAACGAAAACCGAGATGCCCAAGTCCATCAACGACGTTGAGGTTGTCGGCAGCGTCATGTGCGATCCCACCAACACTGTTCGTCTGGTTGAAGTCAAAGGCTCGTCGCCTTCAGTCTACTTGACTCTGCGTTCAGTGAGCAAGCAGGCGATCGTGGATGCTGGTATGCAGAAACACGTCAGCGGCGAACGTGACATCTACGTCTCTCTTTACGAGAAGAACGCTATTGTGCCACAGCTCTTCGGAATGAACTCGAATGACTCGGACATTCACATGCTGTATAACACACAAATCGTGGGCACTCTGGAGAGCTTCTTGGATGGCGAACCGCATGGCGAGTCCTTCGTTCGATACTACGCCGCACAAATCGTGATGGCACTCGAGTTCATGCACTCGGTAAGCTGCTCTACAGTCTTTAATCACTTTTACATGATGATTAACACTCCTGTCTTTCGTATGTATAGGAGGGCGTTGTTTCGCGAACGGTTGACCCCACAAACCTCATGGTAGACCGCAGCGGAAACCTTCGCATGATTAACCTGAGGTAAACCCTGTTGTTTTGTGTCCTTGCTCTATTAAACGTGTACTAATTATCTCGACGTTCGCTGTTTCCTTAGACTTTCCAAGTACGTTGGTCGTGGGCGGACCTACACTGTCTGTGGTACCCCCGAGTACCTCGCCCCGGAGCAGATTACTGGCGAAGGTGAGGAACGTCACTTTATAGTAGGAGAAGTCCTGGACTAATGTGGTGGTTCTTCTCAGGTCACAATATTGCTGCGGATTACTGGGCACTGGGTGTGCTCATGTACGAAATGCTCACTGGTGCAACGCCATTCACTCGGGAAAACGAGAACGACTTGGAGATTCTGAACGACATTGCATCTTTCCGTCCGGACCAACTGTCCTGGCCTGAAAACACAAGTACCGAGCTGAAGGATATCATTGAAAGGCTGTTAAGTCCGGATCCCGCACAGCGTCTCGGATACTCGGAAGTCCGCGCCGGTGCCTGCGAACCGATCAAGAAACACGCCTTCTTCGCTGGAACCTCATGGGAAGCCACTAAGATGGGCTCGTTCTCGGTACGTCATGATGCTTTATAGTATGCTGTCATGTAAAATAACTGACCTTTTTTTTTTTGAATTTGCTCAACAGGCACCACTCGAGCCGGAAGCTGCATCAGAGTTCAAGCAGATTGCAGCGAGTGGAAGTCAAGAAGACATGAACATCGGCAGCGTCTATACGGGCGACGCCGACTGGCTCGCCGGATTCTAGACTTGTAAAAATTTTGCCGCCCGTTGAAGAGCAGCGCCAACCAAAAATTGAAGTATTTTCTTTTTGCTACGAAGTACTTCTCTTAACTAAAAACCGACATTTTTCTTATTCGCTGTGATCTTTTCGCGATGGAAATGCAAGTTCCGTGATTTCCATGTCGCCAAAACACACAGTGCACTCTCGCAATAAGCTCTGTATCCGTGCAAACAGCATGAGTAAAGTTGACTTTTACCAGTCGGAACCGAGAGAATCTACGCACCACGTCGTGATCCACACGTTCAGCGATGCTAGGGAAGTACTTCTCGATAGCTTCAACGGCCTTGTCATCAGTCTATACCAATTTGATTTGTTTAGCAACAAAAATACAGTATAAAGACACTTTAATCAACTTACCAGCAACATGGAAGGCTGAAAGTGAATAGCGTCTCCGTCCAATTGACACAAGTCTCCTCCAGTCTTCCTTACAGTCAATTGCACCTCTTTATCCAGCGCGAAGTGCATCACGGTAAGACGATACTCCTGGTACCCTCCATCCGGACACGCCACACTGCAAGATAGAGTACCGTTAGCCTACCTTTTCCATACGAATACTCTAAAACTACTGTAACCGTACCAATCGTCCACAGGGATCTCCTCGCCCATCAGACCAAGTTGCGCGCGACTCGAGGCACAGATAAAGTAGCCCTGGAACCACGTGCCATCGCTAGGGAAGCACAACGCTGCACGGCCTCCGGAACTTGAGAAAGTTGCCATCGTTCCTACTCACCAACCGATATTCTACCGGTTTGTCAATAAATAAAAATCTAATGGAGTTGCGCTGCTTGACGGACGACGCGGCACTTGTTCGCGCTGTGCAGAAGCTCAACCTAGGCGTGTTGCCTGTGCAGCCCCCTACGTTCTGCTACCGTCGCGCGGAGAAGGATAAACACCGTCTCTCGTGGGCTGCAGTAGACGGAGAAATAGTGACTGGAGCAGGAATTGCCGACCTGGAATTAGAGCGAGACGGACGACGATCTGTGCAGCTTCGCACACTGGCAGTAGCCTCACAATTCCGACGTCAAGGGATCGGAAAGAAATTAGTGACGAGAATAATCGAGCAAGCGAAGGAAGCACGGAAGGAGGGAGATCAAGTCGAAGGGGTTCGTCTTCATGTTCATGCCGGGAATGACGAGGCATTGGCGTTCTACAAGGCACTGGATTTCGTTGAAAAAGCCCGTGTGGAGGACTATTATCGCCACTTAGAGCCACGTACAGCGGTCGTGATGGAGTATTCTCTGTAGCGATCAAAACATAGAGAGAGAACAACTGCATTACTTGGGTTAAACGACACTAACCAGTTCAGTAGTAGGCCTTAAAGGTGGCCTGTGTGAAGTCGTCGTAACTCATGTCGTTGTTCCAGCGAGAGAGGAGTGGGGGTACACCCTTAGGTAAGTTCTCGGTCTTTCCAGCTTCGTTAGGGTCCTTGGAGTCGGGCACAGCCATCCGCTCCTGAGGGAGAGGCTGCATGAACACAGCCAGCGTCTCACGGTTCACACCCGTGACTTGAGGTCCTCGTACAGCGTGTGGCGTGGCTTGCATTGTACCGCCGGAGAGAATCTGTGACGTCTCGCCGATCTGGTACACTAAGTGACCCGGAGGGATATTTGCCTTAAGGATCTCACCCCGACGGTTCTTCACGTACAAACCCGCGTCGGGATCTGGGTTTGGCACCGTCATACCGTTACTATCCGTAAACATGGCCTGTACTAGTCCCGTTAGAGCTCCATGGTCGTTGTGCCAGCCACACCAAGCGAAGGAATCCTCGAGCGTTGTGGCTTCTTTCTGAGCGGCAATCTGCTCCTCCGACAGCGAATAATAGTGCAGCAACCTGGTCATACCAACATCAGCTCCAGTACTTTATAAGCTGTCATTTTGAAGGCACGTACCTGGCCTTGGAGCACTTGCCCGTGCTGATGATGCGATGCAGTTTGCCCTTCTCGTACTCTGGACAGTTTTTCTCCACCAAAGTATCACATTGGTGCGCTACCAGCACTCCTGTGTCCACAATCAATTGCCCCAGCTTCATGAATGCCTTTTCCAGTTCTGGCAGTTCTTCCGGCCAGATATTGGGATGGTAGAACGACGGGAACTTGGCAATGAGCTGCTTGTCTCCACCAGTTAGATCGTTGGTCTCTGGGTTGTTGTAGTACGACCCTTTGGCGTAGTCCGGCTTACCCTGAAGGTTCTCCTTGCCGTGGCTCCAGCCGAAGCTGTAAAAGGCCTCAGGGAGCTCGCATTTGGCCTTAACGTCGGCCGGGAGATTGGCAAACTTGAATGCAAGCGGCAGCAGGTCGCTGCGCTTGGAATTGAGCTCCGGGACGCCGCTCACCACGAGAATCCCCATGCCTTCGTAGCCGAAAGCCTCCTCAATGACAGTAGACAAGTCCTTCTTGGTCACTAGATCCTCGTACGCGACCACGGGCACATCGCGAGCCTCGACGGAGGAGTGGACGGGAGCCATTTCTCTAGCGGACGGCGAAATGCAGAATGAGCGAACAGGGCGGACGAGCGGACGGATGTTGAAGTACGTGGTTAGGGGAAAACGCTTACAATTTTTAAATGGCGGGGTAAGCATTCCGATGCTGTCTTATTTAGACTCTAAAGCTTTCATGACATCAATGGTGAAGGCGTCAGCCTGGGTACAGGAGTAATATGCATGTGTGGATACTGTGCTAGCAGTAGTTTTTCACCGCCAGCTGTGAGCTTATGCACCAGCGCTGACGGTAGCAAGTAAGTATTCCAGTGGAGACGGGATATATTTCTTTTAAGGGGTAGAAGAGGGGTATCTAATTGATTCAAAAATCAAGATTCCGGGCCAACAACAGCAAAAAAGCAAATGTCCAATCCAAAATGTTAGAACAACAAGTAGTGGCTTCGTCACCTAGAAAGGTTAAATAACCACTGCGAATCTTCTTGTAGCAAGAAGCGGCTTCAATCATTTGTTCGCTTTCAGAAAGGCAAGGTAGTCGCTGTGAATCTGCTTGTCCATCTCGGTGGCCTTTGAGGATGTAACCTTGAGCACTTGTATAAAGAAATATTTATCTTCTGGTACTTTCTTCAAACGCCACTGTGCATACAGCTTCGATTGCAACGACTCCGCAGTCTTCATCGGATCTGGCATATTCTTCGCCTGATACAGTAGCGATGCTAGAGCTCGCTCTCCATACACTGCTTTGAGCTCCTTGAGCACAAAAGTAATAGGTGTTTTCTCACGGAGCCTCTTGTCGTTAAACTTGTTCAAATAGCCAACCCACGCCTCGAAGACATACGTGCCAAAAGGTGAAATTTCTCGATTGTTGAGCTTCAACCTTTTGTAGACATCCGCGGGGGATAGTTTCTGGTTAAGCCAGACCGTGAATTGCTCAAGCTGTAGCTCCGTCGCCAGTGCTCTCGTTGTATCCGACTTCTTACCCACTTCGAGCACCTTTGCCACGTCAGCTTCTCCGTATTTCTTTGCCAGTGTTTCGACCGTTGTAGCAGCTGGTGCACCGGGGTACTTCTTGTTAAACTTTGCGATGTAGTGCCGCAGCACGCCCAACTTCGGGTTGGTCAGAATATCGTCCACATTATTGCCAAGTTTTAGTATCGGGAGCAACTTGTCTAATGGCTTCTTTTGAAGCAACCACCATTTCAGCTGCAGCTTCTCTGTGTTTCTCAATTTCGGCAAGGCACCCTTGATAGTCGCTTCAAGGGCTGGGATGTTAGCCGCCCTGCTTTCGTTATCCCCGCCACCTGGCCTTAGGAACCTCTTAGTTGTTGTGGCGCTTTCAGTAACGCTACGAGTCGACGCGCTCAGGGGGTTTGCACTGCTGGCCGCGTAGGACCTATCCAATACGAAGACGAGAAAAACGGCAAGCACCAATTTCAGGCTTGAATGGAGGAGATGCATGGGTGGTGGTGACTCTCGCTTTGAGGACTGGGGGTTATACATGTATTGCGAACTGAATCAAAGTGACACGGACGATATTGCCGACTCGTTGGAGCTTACGGGCGAGTCGCCCGTAAGCTTACGATCCTGTAATCACTGATTGTAACGTAACATAAGTGGGCGGAAGCCTACATAAAAGAGATGTGAACACTTTGTTGAGGTAAAAAAGAAACGCAGACAATCTGAGCGGATGTTAGAAGAATAAACGTTATTAATAGAACAACTAATTATGCGTCTGCCGTACCCCTTTTTAAAGCTAATTGATCCCAAATCGGCCTATTCGAGGATATTAGGGGTAGTCAGAGTTGCGTTCAGATCGATTTGCAGTTAGAAAAATGCCGCTAGTACTTATCTCATTGGCTAAAGCTCTTTCGATTCCAATCTGTTTTAGGTAGCGCTTTTATCGTTTAGATGGTGATCTGAAATACCTTCAATTCTTGGACCCTGTGATAGGCCAATAGTCGCTGTCTGAAAAGCTATCTGAGCACAACTCTGACTACCCCTATTGATGATGTTAGTCAAGAAATCTACCTCTCCAACCTTGGAGTATGCACCGTGGACCTGTGAGCCTGCAGTTATAGATTTTAAGCAAATTTATTGTCTACTTATTGTAGCACGCGTAGAAGACGTGGAGGAAATCGCCGCCGACCGTGAAATCTGTGTGCGGGGTCATTGACTCAGCAGAATTTACCCACGCTTCTACGCGTGTGTGTGTGTGTTTTAGAGATTTCGCCGTTTCCCCCTCAATTTATTTTGCATTGCAATAAAAGCATCTCGTTTAAAAGCCTGGTATTAATATATAGGTTTGTCCCCTGGGGAATAAAAGCTAAGCGTTGTTAAATCATAACGTTGCTATCGGATGAATGCTTAAAACAAACTCCTCTTCTTTTTCGACTACACTTTACTAGATACAACTTTGAAGCTAAGCCATCGCTCAGATCACTTTTCCAAACGGGGAATGAATTTTCCTGTCAACTAAGTAGGCCCTCGGGGTATTGTGAGCGACAGCAGGTTTACTGAGTTCCAAGTGTTTAGTTGGATGTTCGAGTAATTACTCGGTAATGACAAGATCGGGGTCATGTGTAGCAGTTGGCCGCGGTATCTATCATCTTAAAGCGGATGGGCGGGCGTACAATGTATGAATCAGCCTTGAACGAGGAGTTATTCAAAGTGATCTCAAGTGTAGTCAAATCCTGATACTAAGGATGAGTTGCAATGCTGACCATCTTCGGACATAGCTTCGATTCTACCGATGTTAGCAGCCTTGGTAACTACTTTCCAAAAGTGATCCATACAATCGATCCGAGCACGCCAGCGTGTCCTCTTGTCGTGAGGAAATTTACCTGACCAAGTTAAAAAAAAATTACATACTTAGTAAAGGTCTTTGAAAATGGCAAGCGTTGGGAATGTGTACTATTGACCAGTTGGGTATCCCATCTGGATCCATTTCAAAATCATTACGAGGTCTAAAGTATAAGAGTATAAGACTGCCCAACTAATACTCAAGCTCAGATATCGTTAATGCCAGACGTAGAGCGTCCTCCTCCGACATGAAGTCATTGCTGCTTCGTCTTCTACCACGTGGGGCTGTGGCAGTCTTCTTGCGCTTCTTAGTAGTTCCAGCCTTGGAATTGGTGCGACTGGGACTCTTTGCAGGTTTTTTACTTTCCGATTCTGGAGGTACCGGTTGCCTTTCTTCCTCCATGAACACTTGGACTGCTAGCGCCTCGCCAGGATCAGGACGTGGAGTAGTAGCAGTCTTCTTGCGCTTTTTGACTGCAGCTCTACCTTTGGCCCGGGTGCTGGAACGCTTTGTTGGGTTGTTATCTGCCTGAGTTGCAGCACCCGCAGGCTGCTTTTCTTCAATCAACTCCTTGGATATTTGGATTGCTTCAGACACGATGTCATCTTGGGCATTGCTTCGCCGCCCAATACGCGGACTTATAGCAGTCTTCTTTCGCTTCGTGGGCGTCGCTTTAGCTTTAGTTTTGGCCACAGTGTTGCTGGATTTCTTTGCTGGTTTTGAAGTGTTCGGGGTGCCAGAAACTGCGGCATTTGCAGATACTAACGAGGCTTCAGTAGTCGGCTCGTTGGATACTTTGGAGCCATCTTCCGGCACTCCTTTGACATTGCTGCTTTGTTGCCTGCCAGCATTTTTCTTGTCCGCGTCAGCTTCAGCTCCGATACTAGTGGGGATTTCTTTCGATGCCTCAGAATCTGCAGTACTTGGAGCCGTAGATTGTTTTTCTTCAATCGACTCGGACATATTGTTACCTTGATCGTTGCTGCTTCGTAGTACATCTTGGGGTGCTGTAGTAATTTTGCGTTTCTTGGCTGCAGGCCGAGATTTGGCTCCTGTGCTACGTGAACGCTTCACTGTCTTTTTACCTGCAGATACGGCTTGTTTACCGTCACCCGATGGTAGTGGGGCGGCATCCTCAGACACAACAGCGTCATGTTGATCACTGCTTTGTTGTTCACGAGGAGTTGTAGCAGTCTTTTTGGTTGGAGATCTGACCTTGGATTCAGTACTGCTGGAATTCTTTGCTGGCTTTAAGCCGGCCGATGATGCAGGATTTCCATCAGGTGCTGGTTGTTTCTCTTCAAGCAGCTCCTTGGACATCAGGATTGCAAGCTGGACGGCATCCTCCTCAGACACTAACTGACTATTGCTCCGTCGCCGTCGTCCACGTGGAGCTGCAGTCTTCCGCTTCTTGGCTGCAGCTCCAGCCTTAGCCCCTGTGTTACTGGACTTTGTTTTTGGTTTTAAACCATCCGAGGGCCCAACTGTAGGTGCAGTTGGCTTCTCTTTAGCTGATTCCTTGGACATTTGAATAGCCAACAGGATGGCATCTTCCTCCGACAAGTCCAGCTGGTACTCTTTCATCAGTCGAGCTTCTTCCGGGTTCTCGTTAGCAGGCGCTTCCTCTTCTTCAACAGATTTGTCTGATACACTAATGCGATCGTCATCTGAGCTGTCCTCCATCACCAACGACAGATCCGACTCGTCTTCTTCCTCGTCTACCTCTTCGAATTCCGGCTCCTCTTCTTCCTCGACGCTATCGTCCATTTCCACTTCTCCATCCTCCTGGATAAAAGACTTCTTTTTCGCGTTAGCATGGTACCTCGCCTTCGTTTTGCCATTTCCGAGAGCCTTCTTCTTGTACTTACTCAGCGCTGTGTGCATCCCTTTGGCTTTGGCGAAACTCCCGAGCGTCCGTCCTTTCCTTCCTGCTGCGCCTTTGGCAGTCTCGCTTGGCTTCTTCTTCGACACGTGGTGACCACCTACCGTAGCGAATATCTTCTTCGGCCGGCCAGTTTTCTTGGAAGGAGGCATAAAGAACGTGGAGATTAATGTGTCGAGCGTCTCCTGCATTTCCAACAGGATCACAAGTCCAGCATGGCCTCCAGCCGCCAGGAAACACGGGTAGTCACCTGGAGTGATGGAGGATAAACGCAGGCGGTGCAGAGCAGCATCTCGCTCGCAGAACTCGCGCGTAGTTTGACTCACAGAATCTGCAGACCCCAACACCGAGTGCTTGTCGAACGATATTCTAAGAGACTTGAACGGCTTGTCGATACTGGAATCCTTTTGACCGGATAGACGACAGATCTCGACGCAGTTCTGAGGAGCGCGATACAATTTCTTGGCCGGTGCAGCTCGAATGCTGCCAGACGTGCAAGAGGAGAGAAGCAGCGGGACGGCGCCGCGTCGAGCGAACTGCAGATCCCACACGGGGGAGTCGATCTGGGGGTGAAAGTGCAGCTTCTGGTAGCTCCCACTCTGCACAGTAGCACAGCAGACATGGCGTTAAAACACCGTCGTTTAACTCACCATTTTCAGCGCAATTCGTACCAGGATATCATACATGTAGACGGAGCCTTGGTCGCCGGAGATTTGGATAGACGTCTGATCCATCCACTGCAGTGCTAGTCCCCACGTAGAGCGTATTCGATGTGATCGTAGACACACACGGGGCTCGCGGACGTCCCAGACTTTAAATACCGAGTCCTACAACATCACAATGTTAGTAAGCCCACAGATGTCAATAAAAGACAGCTGAAGTACGTACATTGCCCGTGGTTGCGAATAAATGTTCATCGAATGGAGACCAGGCAACGGCACGGATGGCTACCCAACCACAGCCCCAATCAAACGCTTCCTGCTTTCCTATAGTGTCGGCTGAGCCGTATAAATGCCAATAGTTAGCACTGTAGATGGATCATCATTAACCAGTCAGCATCCTCACCGTCTTGAAAGCGTCTTTGAGGCTCTATCGGCTCTGGTTCCGCACGTTCATCACCCAAACTGTCACTCTCGCTAACCGTCGACTTAATATTCCATAGTGACACGGAGCCTGTAGTTGCACAAGTGCAATCGTCAGTCTCTCAGTCTGCACTATAACCACAGACTAAACGTACCATCAGAACCGCCAGTCAGAAGCAGATTCCACGTGTGTGGAGACCACTGCACGCTTAGCTGCATAATGCGCGGCAACTTGGCAACCACAATCGGGATGTTCTTGTCCACGAGACGTTGTTCCTTGCCAATATTCAGCTGTAGCCTCTCCTCTGGAATCATCGGGACCTCGAATACCCTCACACTCCCATCTCCAAAACATGCTGCCAATATTCCTAGAATGTTTTCTCGCCGTGGACTCTTGGGGAACTTTTTCACTAGAGGACACCACTGCAGATCCCACGCCACGCCGCTCTCATGGTCTATAGCATACACCAGCCTTGGTTTTGCCGGTTTCTTCTCCGTTTTCCCTCTTTTACCTGTCAATGTTTTCGGTCGTTGCACCGGCACGGCCCAGATCTGGATCAAATTCCGTGCACTCTCCGGCACATCGTAATAATGATCTGGTGGTGTATTTTTCACCACTTTCCCGTCCTCCACTTGGCACGGCGGGTGTGTGGCTAAAACCAGGAATCTCCACTCTAATTTAGACCCGTTTTGAGAGTCTGCGCTGCTATTAGAGGCTGCAGTCGTGTTTCCATCTGCGCTTTCCACTTGGTTGTTCTCCTTGCCCTTTAACGCAGCTTGTTGGGCCTTTTTACTGGCTGCAGAAGAGCGCCGAGGCTTCTTTTCTTTGCTCTTAATCAGAGCAGCAGCTACTGTGGCTGCGTTAGAAGCTGGCTTTGACGGCAGCCAGTCCATGGCCCAGACTGGCCCACCGACGTTTAGAGCTATCTGCTCGCCGCCATTGAGACCTTCACAGGTAAATGGCGGTATCACTGTGACGTCCACCGTCTCCACTGTCGCTTGAGCAGTATTTTGGTCGGTTTGTGAAGCTGTAGAGGTCTCTGGAGTCTGTTCACTGATCGGAGTTCCGTTTGTTAAGGTTTCTGCAGGCTTTTCACTAGGATCATTCGAGTGTTGGGCCGATTGAGATGATAATTCTTGGATACAAGGGGTAAATGAAGATTCCGAATTAGATCCGACCACTTCCAGATGGATCGGCTGCAGATACGAGCCGTAAGACACCGCTTCGCGCCACGCGGTGAGCTCCATGGTTTCCGCTCGATTATTGCCAGCAATCTATTGTAGATTCGGCTAAATGCGATAAAATGTGGACCACACAATGATGCAAAAAATAAAACACTAAAAAAACCAATGGGGCAAAAATAATACGTTAAATAACGCGTTTGACTTTTATCGTTATTTTCAGCTATTTTAAAGTCAAGCTTTACTTAAGCGAAGTAGAAATTCCCCATCCAATTAATAAATCATATCCAGATTTATAGAACTTGCTAGCGTCTTCATTACTAGCCTGTGTTTGGATGCAATCGTTTCTACTGCTCTTTTTTATATATACTGCACTCTTCTTCTTTTTGAGCTAAAACACACGCCAAAAAGCGATGAATTTCAACTGTGAGATTCTTCAAGGTATTGCACATTGTCACCCTCATCAGAATTCTTGGTGCAGTACTGGCGGCAAACTGTAATACCATTCTAACACTTCTAAAGCCAAGCCTACCCCATCATGCGCGCTCAAAATCGAGTTTGGCGGGTACGTTATTAATACTTAAAGGCTAGACCCGTTTTGATATAATTTATTTCAGTTTTACTGACATCTTTAGTCTTTTCGACCTTCCCAACGGAATCCTTCGGTGGTGCCGAGCGCACCAACAAGAAGCGCAATGTTTCGCAAGCCATTCGACTGTAACGAGTGGTCGAATCGAGCGTTGAAGTTGGTGTCGACTTTGATTTTAATCACCATGATCAGCGAACTAGCGCCAGAATAAAGTTTCACACCATAAAAAAAAACCTCTTGACAGGAAGCTACAAGTCAAGACCGATGCGATTAAGGTGCTGTCAACACAGTCTGACGTGGGGTTGACAGCTCTCGACTTATTGTCCATCGATTCATTGCCGTCGAGCTAGCAGCGGCGACGCAAAGCGAGAAAATCGCATCGATTCAACGCCGTTTGACACGGAGCCGCACGTTGAAGTTGCCGCCGCCTGACGTTGGGTTTCCTCCGATTGCTCGGTGCCGCCCCGCGCGGGTGTTTAACATGGACATATTTGTATGGGTTTGAGTATAAATGCGCGATGATGACGGCACTTGAAGGTTCATCATGACGGCGCGATTGACGTCAGCATAGCGAGGTGTAGCCAAACGCGACACCTTCGAGCTCACCAATTGCCTCTGGACGGATACAGCACGGCGTTTTTTTTCAGAGCCAAGGACCAAGTCTGAACATTTGAGCGCGGCCACCTCGCTGCTTCAGAGAGCAATGATATGGAGGCGATGGGAGGCTAGCCGACTGAAGAAAGCGCCTCGTCGAATCCCACCGCTCGCTTGGGAACATCACCGGAAGGATGTTTTTGAGTCGTCGTTAAAAAAACTCTGTGCCGGGCCTTGCGTTTCCGCTGCATTCCCTGGTTAACTCACTTCAACGTGCAACGGTTCGGTTACAGTAGTAGATCCGGCGTGTCGGTAGCTGGCACTTCATGTAAAACCGAGCGAAGTCCTTATCGAAGTCGAGATTCCAGCCTGGAGCGGATCTGGAAAAAGTATTGGCCTTGAACTTCAATCGATGGCGCTGGAGTTAGTGGCATCGGTCGCCATCGGCTGAGTGCTATGCAGCGATCCTGTCGACACAAGGAGGCGTTGTCATTTTAGCGTCTTGGGCCTCTACTTCCTGAGCTCACTTTTCAATTCTCCGTCTCGGGCACAAGTCCGTCTTCACCTCCATCCATCGCCACAAACGTCCGCAATCATGACTCGTAACTCGGACCTGGAGAAGAACAGCCACGCCGCGTACGCAGATCTTGAGTCTCCGGGGGACCCGAACCTGCATCTGCAACACATGACACCAGTCGAGAACGTGCCATACATGGTCAAGAGCCAATTCGCCAAGGAGATGATGGCCGAGTTCCTCGCCACCTTCGTCACCATGCTCTTTGGCTTATCGTGTATGACTCAGGTGGTGCTGAGCAGCGAAGCCAGTGGTAACTTCGTGACCATCGCTCTGTGCTGGGGCCTCGCTTTCTTCTTCGGTATCACCGTCGGCGGCGGCGTCTCCGGTGCACACCTGAACCCGGCGGTGACTACAACACTGGCGCTGCTCAAACTGCTACCATGGAAGAAAGTGCCGTTCTACATTCTCAACCAGGTCGTTGCAGCGTACGTGGCTGCACTCTTCGTTTACATTCTGTACCGACCGATGTTCAACGAGGTTGACCCGGACCGGATGACCACGCACACAATCTTCGCAACGTACCCGCACGAGAATGTGGGCAACTTCACGTGCTTCTTGACGGAGTTTGTAGCCACGGCGCTATTGATCCTGGGTATCCTGGCACTACTGGACCAGCACAACCGTCCCATCGGCAAACACGCTGTGCCGCCTGCTGTCGGGGCGTTGGTGAGCACCATCGCCATGGGCTTCGCCATGAACACTGGTCTGGCCATTAACCCGGCTCGGGACCTGGGCCCTCGCCTCTTTATGCTGTGCGCCGGCTGGGGATCGCGCGTGTTCTCGCTCAACCACTACTACTTCTGGGTACCGATTGTGGCCCCAATCACTGGTGGGGCTGTAGGTGCGTTCGTGTACGAGGCGTTGATCGGCTACCACCACCCGGAAAAGAACCGCGGTCCGCACCCGGAGTACCGATTCTAAGGTATGACGGGAGATCGGGAGATGGAGGTTTGTTTAGTTGGTTGCATGAAGTTCCTGGATTATTGTTGGCACTGTTCAATACATGGGTTGCATTTTCGTACGCCAATAGGCTTATTGATGGGAGCTTTTGGTGGTGTGCTATTGACTCAGCCATGTCCGTCTGGCAGAGATTAAATGCATGGCCAAAGATTGACACTCTGCATTACGGGCAAACTAACTTACGCATAAGAAATGATCATACCGTGTTTACTGGTTACATTCTCCTGTCATGATGCCCAAGCAACATTCTAATCAAACTGATCATTTTTTTTGTTTGTATGAATAGGGCCTAGATCGTTTTTACTGGAGCTGTTGGTGTCACCAGCTTGGTGGGGCGCTATTCATGTCCACGTGGGGAAAATGATAAGAGTGAGAGTTATGGGTTCTCTGAAGATCATTGCGCAGATAATGAGAAGAAAAGGATGCGAGTGCTTTAGGGTGGGGACCGAACGAAGCTGGAACAGTCGCCTTGCAGGTCTGCTCGAGCCTTTATTGGTGATAGTAGTGGTCTAAGAGACCCCGACAAGAAGAACAGAGTTACCCACACGCCCGAGATCTGTCAAAGCGAGCTGCTCGTTAGTCGTCACATGTTGGTCACTGCCACGGACGGCATCTGGAGAGTTTGGAACAACAACGACACTATAGACATCACAATGAACGAACTCGACGCTCGGAGTCAATGAAACAAAACATTCTGCTGAATTTGCTGCTGAGGCTATCGCCAATGAGGCTCGGGCACGCGGCAGCACTGACGACGTCACAGTGATCGTTGTCTCGGTGTAGGATCGTGACCTTCGTATTTTTGTACAGTGTGAGCAGAATCTATTTAGATATAGGAAGTATTGCACAGTGAGCAGAAACTGTCTGGTAGTTATGCAGCTTTTATACGATTTTAATTATTACTATAAGTGTTTCTTCTAAACATATTATGTACAATAATATTAAATGTCATTTTAACGTACTCTAAATATGTATTTCTGTCATTTTTTTTTAGTTAGAACTATGAGTCATAGTCTATCTGTTGGGAGTGGATTCTGGGATATATTTGGTATTAGTATGCGTTAAGCGACTTACCCAGAGCATACATTTAACATGTAAGTTAACTTGCAAGTTACTCAATTCGGAAAATTCCGTTCTAATTGTCTATTTCCAGCAAGCGAAAGTACATTGCTTTCATCCAAGAGGCAGCTGTATCATTTCCTTTCAAATCGATGCTATTTTGTACATTTCAGCTTAATTTAAAAGTACGATTTTGGTTTTGAGCTCCGTTTACGAATATATTGTTTATGTTTTGGTGCTTTTCGTAGCACACATAGATAGCGTCACTGAAATACTGACGCAATCGAGTCCCAAGTTTACCAATCAAGATAATCCCCCCTTGTGACTTACAAGGGGGGGGGGTCTTGATTCAATGTGAGTGAGCTCACAAGTTGTGACCAAGTGTTCACTTTCCATTTTTCCTACTTAATAACAACTCAATCAATCCACAACCGAGCATGACCTCGTCGAACCTCGTCTTCCGCCATACTGACCGTACTTCGCACCATACCCTCCGCGTACAGTCGGAGCGAAGACCGGCTGTCGGCCCAGATGAAGTCCTGGTGCAGATCCGTGGCGTCACGCTCAACTACCGAGACACGATCGTCGCTAACGGCACGTATCCGTTCCCTCTCAAGGACGACCTCGTTCCTTGCTCAGATGGAGCAGGAGTTGTGGTGGAGCTAGGAGCCGACGTCAAGACTCTGCAACTCGGTGATCGCGTCATTGCTAACTTCGACGTGAACAGCCTGGACGGCCTCACACCGGGTATGAAGCGAGAGTCGCTCGGTGGGAACGTGGACGGTGTCCTGCGGCAGTACATTGCTCTGCCTGCCCAAGTCCTCACCAAGGTGCCGGAAGAAAGCGACGTCAGCTTCGTGCAGATGGCGTCGCTGGTAGCTTCGGGCGTCACCGCTTGGAATGCGCTCTTCGGTGTCCAACCATTGAAAGCCGGTCAAACAGTTCTGTTCCAAGGTAAGCTTACATTCTAGTACAGTACACAACTGACAACATTACTTAAGTACGTAACATGCTTTGACTATAGGGACGGGAGGTGTGTCCATTATTGGGCTCCAACTTGCCAAGGCTGCTGGAGCTACCACTATCATTACATCGTCCTCCGACGAGAAGCTCAAGTTTGTCCAGGAGAAGTTCGGCGCGGACCATGTTATTAACTACAAGACGTATCCCAACTGGGCGGCGGTGGCGAACCAAATCACAAATGGTCGTGGAGTTGACTTCGTGCTGGAGAACGGGGGCTCTGGAACGATCGCGCAGAGCATCGAAGCTATCACCGTTGGCGGGGTCATCGCGTTGATCGGCTTTCTGTCCCCGGCAAAGCAAGAAGAAATGCCGGACCTCACAGTTCTCCTTCTTGGCAAGGGATGCATCGTCCGTGGCATCTCGCTTGGCAGTCAGCAACAGCTTCGTGACTTGGTGCAGTTCGTGAGCCACCACCATATCCAACCTTTTGTGCAGAAGACATTCGGCTTCAGTCGCAACGAAGTCCTTGAGGCGTTCGATTATCTCCAAGCCGGGCGCCACATCGGGAAGGTTGGCATCGAAATCAAGCACGAGGCGTAGGCTCGAAGAACAGAGAAGTACTTGAAGTACTTTGCTTACTGCTTGAAATATCTTGTTTTGGTTCTTTACAGTAATTAATCGAGCAACACACCTACGATCATTTCGGTTCACTGCAGTAATAGCAAAACATTTAACCCCGACGTCAACGTGTCGACTCGCACTGCCACCACTTGGGCACTTTTTACTTCTTTTACAGTGAGAGTCCCCAAAAGACCGCAGGTCTGATTCAAATGAATCGGAGGGACAGTGTCGACTTTATAGCCACGATACAGTGAAGTCCTGTGTCACACTGAGGTTCGCGCCACTCGCGTCGATCGTCAACGCTTCCAGAGTCTCATTGTACGAGAAGCCCAGCACAGTGTCACTCGAGCTTACAATCACTTGCGATGGCTTTGTTGGAACACCCAGCACGATCACATCCGTAATCAAGTCGGTGAAGTCGCCCCCGCTGTAATTGTTGCGCACCACTTTACTGCTGAGCTCGCTACCGGAGACGGTAAAGCTGACAACAGTCGAGTGTTCGTCGCCGTTGACCGCGTCAATATCGTCCTGATACAGCTCACCGTTCGCAGTGCCATTGGCCGATAAAGCCACCAGCAAGCTGTACGGCGTAGTACGCGCGGACGTACTAGTGAGCGCCGCCTGGTGCATTGGTAACACCGGGCCACCACGGACGTGCACGGGCATGTCGTACAAGCTAACCTCCCATGAAACATTGGCTCCAACAGATTCCAGTTTGGTGTAGTTGAAGAGATCATACCACACGCCTTTAGGAACGTATCCCGTGACGTTGGTAGCTCCCTCTGTCAGCACAGGTATCACGAGCAGTGAGCTTCCGAGCATGAACTGGTTATCAACATACGGCGAGGAACGTGCGTTGGTGTCTTCGGGAAACTCGAAGAACATGGCTCGGGCGATAGGAATACCTGTTGCATGGGCCTCGTAGCCCAGCGTGTACAGGTACGGCAACAAGCGGTAGCGCATGCCAATGAATTTGCGGCCAATCTCCGCCACCGAGTCCCACAAGTACGTTTCCTGCGAGTTCACATCCTTGACGTTGTGGTTCCGGGCAAATGGGTAAAACGAGCCGAGCGCGGTCCAGCGAGCACAAAGCTCCTCGGTCGTGTTGAGGGCAAAGCCACAGATATCAGCACCGACCATGGGGACGCCGTAGATACCGAAGTTCAAAATCGTCGGAATGGACCACTGGATGTCATTTTACGTGGCGGCATTGTCACCCGTCCAGTGGGCCGTGTGAGCGCCAGAACCCGAGAAGGTGGAGCGTGAGAGCACGAACGCGCGCTTGTTGAAGACCGACTCCAGCGCCGCGTTGGTGACGATCGCTTCCGTGAATCCGTACAGATTGTGCGAATTGTACTGCAGCACACCACCGTACTGCTGCGCACTGGTCGACACGGTCTTGTAGTAGATCGGTGTCTGGTCCCCGTCATTGTTGATCGCAAACGGAGGGTAGTTCCACTCGTTTTCATCATCCGTGCATACAAGGCAGCACGTTGTCTGGGCATCAGCGTTAGGACATGTCACGTTGTCTGAGCGCGAACAGTTAAGGCCGTTGCAGAAGTTGGATAGCTCGTTCATGTCAATCCAGATACCATCATACTCCATCAACTCATACATCCGTGAGAGTTGCTCTCCCCAGTAGCTTTGTACATCGGGGTGAAGGAAGTCTGGGAAGTACGTCGGACCCGGCCACACTTGACCAAGATAAGGTTTGCCATCACCGTTCATCATGAAGATATCCATCTCGAGACCACGAGTATACGCGTACAATTCCTCGTCGTCGGGGATACCCGGTTCAATGATTGGTACGAATTTCTGACCGGCAGTGTGGATCTCGGCGAGCAGTTCCGTCATATCCGACTCTGGGAAATTCACCGGGTCGAGGGTAAAGTCCTCGTAGTCCTTCATGTAGTCGATATCGGCCCACATGACGTCCAGTGGGATGTTGTGCGCCTTGTACTGCCTCACTACTTCCCGAAGGGAGGCACTCGAGTTGTATCCGTAGCGACACTGGTGAAAACCGTAGGACCAGTACGGCATCAGCTTCGGACGACCGGTTAGCCCCGTGTACTGAGAGACAACGTCCGCTGGCGAAGGACCCGCGACAATGTGGAAGTCGAGAATACCACCGATGGTTTGGTACACAATTTTGCCATCTTCGAACGTCATATCCATCCCATTGCTATTAAGCAGAAGTACACCGTGTGCCTTACCGTCACCGTTGATTCCCATGAAAAACGGGTGCGAACCGTACAGGTTCGTATTGTGGACGGCTGATCCTTGGTCTCGAGCCCACAGCGTACGCCTGTCACCGGTGTTGACGTGCATCGTGTTTTGAGTGGATTCACCAAAGCCGTAGACACTGACATCGTCGTTCACAGCCGTTGCGACTTGCAGGTACTTGTCTTTGACAACCAACGACAATGCCGACGAGTCAAAGAGCACATACCCGTCCGACTTACGCGTCACTTGGAACGTGAACGGGCTGGAAGTGTACGTGAAAGCCACCGTCGACTCGCTCGTTGACCACGAAATGTTTCCAAGGGATGTATCGCTGCCAAGAAGACCTTTTGAGTGTACAGGCTGGACGGGACTTGCCAGCGTTCTCCAGCATGGTCAGCGATCTTGACGCGCACGACGTCGTTCGAGCTCTTGGTCACTTCAACGACGAGATCATCGAGATCGTCACCATATGTGGTATCGGCGATGGTCGTGTTGCGTGAGAGCTGGAGGTTGAGAGCCGTCTTGCTGTCGGTAACGTTGGAGACGAAGTAGCCCGACGTGTCGAGGTAAGCTGCTTGGCCACGTGCAACCAGCGCTAGGCCAGAAACAAATGACCAAACTCCACGCATGAATCTTGAACGGTGATATGAAGCTTGAGGAGTTCACCTCTGAGGAGCTTGGAGACTGTGGTTTGTGGGAGCAAATTCCGGAATGAGAGATCCGAGCAGGACCGAGTTAGCCGATCATAGACTATGGTTGGAGAAGGCATACCACAACCAGTTGTTATTATCTTCATTTACTACTTCACTTTTTGAAGTACGCCCAATACCGCCTATTCATATAAGATAGCAAGTTCCCAGTCGTGCTGCTGGGCCAGCACACCAGTGAAGGTGACTCGCGTAAGGGGAACATCAGGTTGACCTTGAAGTGAACTTGATTTATCGCGTGGGTAAATCATGAACGGACCCGCGGTACTCGTAGATCTAGGGACGTTCTGCTTCGCATGCCGCATGAGACCAGACCGCATACTATGCGGTCTGGTCTCACGTTGACTCACTTCAAGTGAGTCACTTGTGTCAAGGGACAAGTCGCATGCCAAATGCCGTCGTCATTTGTTGGTTTTTTCTTATTTTGCCATTGTCGGTTGTCCATTTTTTTTTGGCCTACTAATTTTATTCTTGATTTAGTCTGCTCCCCTGGATTGTGTTTTTTGTATTTTCGACATTTTGATCCGGACTTCGGACGGATCTGTTCAGATCCATGGGGTGATATCTTGATTCCGAGCAGCTCTTTGTCCTTCGTTATATCCTGTAAGGCGCAGCGCGCCGTCATTGGACATGGAAAACAACAAAGCTTGCCTTTTTTTGGCGAGGGATCGACGGGGATCAATACAAGTATTGTGAGTCGATTTTCCTCAATTAATGAGACCTGGATAAGACATCCTTGTTGGGTTCTGTTACCGAGGTGGCGCAGAGAGCTCCTGCGTCCTTGTTAATCTGTCCGTTTACAAGTTCATTGTCCAAACACTCACCTCACCGCGCCCTTTTATTTAGGGGACGGCGCTCTATTTACCGCACCTTTTATTTACGTTAGCTATTAGTTTCATGCATTCAACTTATCCCCCAACGAGATAGCGTTAAAGACGAGTATTGCAGCATCGGAACATTGCCCTTATCACGACTGTTCGTCCAAGGAAACCGTCCTCATATCCCCTTTGCAAAAGCTACTCATGTTTGGACCTCTCAGAGACTCACTCAAACTTTTTTTTTTAAAAAAAAAAGGTCTGTGAAGACCAGATGGCGCTCATGAAGTGCGAAATTCTGGCCTCATTTAAAACATCTACACGTGGAGTAACCACTCGGACAATAGTAACCAAAAATATTAAATACCAACATGCCATAAGGATGGAGGACACCGTTCCAGCAACGACACGGTATCATTTAATCCATGTCCACCTGAAAAAGGTTCACAGTGATTTTGACAGAAATCACATTAAAATAACTAAATGCGATTGCCACCGCTTTAATTTCAGACATATCGTTTCTTCTATAAGTGACGTACATTATTGCCATTTAGTCCTTCAATTAACGACTACGCGTTTGGTTCAAAACCTCCGCTATTCCCAAAACCTCGTGTTAGTCCAGAAGTTACAGTTTCAATTTCTGTTGCCCATTTGGAATGAACTTAATCGCTAAATTCACTTTCGAATGGCTACTGTAAAAGTAAAACTCTTGTGCATAGGTCTCGGCAACCAGCTGTCCTTCGTGGTTAGCCTCGTGCTTGATTTCGATGCCAACCTTCCCGATGTGGCGCCCGGCTTGGAGATAATCGAACGCCTCAAGGACTTCGTTGCGACTGAAGCCGAA